ACAAGTTATGTTGTTGGAAATATTAACCTTTTGTAAGGGTCACGTGATGTGGGACTTTGGAACGCATTACGAGAAAGTATGGGTTCCAGACGATTGATTTCTTTGTATGTGTTTTGAATTTTTAATAAAGAAATGAAATGAAATTTTTGCTGTGTCTGTTACTTGATTTCCCCCCTGTCCACTTTCAACTATAAGAGGAGTCCGCGTGAGCACTCACTCTCAATTAAACATTTGGCCGAGTGGTCTAAAGCATTAGTACCTCGAGCGGAGAGCACGGGTTCGAATCCCACTCACAGACGTTTTTTCTGGAAGCCCCTGAGCGGTATGCAACTGATAAGAAGGGATCGGGTGACCGAGACATCCGGTAACCTGTAACCGCCGGCCGTGGTGTGCCCCTGGCAGGGGCAGGGTAGGCAACCTGTGACCGTGGGCCCGTTATACTACTGTCAGGTACTTTTCGGCCCGTTGAATCGTTCCCCACTCGCGGAGCGAACACATTTCGTGCAATACCCTCTGAACTACTTGACGCTCTCTCGTCGAGCTGCGCCGCCATCGTATCCCGCGGTGTTTGCGCATAAAATGCGGGCGGCGACGGTCAGACTGACGTCACATGGCATAGCGTCAACGTGTTAAAGGATCCCCCATTCTCGACCAGGTGGCAGGAAGTGCAAATCGTTTCTGTCAAGTCTCTGTTTGGATGGCCCAACGCGCCGCGTCACGGTTTTTGGCGACAGTTTGCTGGCTGGACAGGTTGGCATGGCTTGGGTTCTGGGATGGGGGCCGGAGAGGGGGGCATTTCCAAATCCAAAGGTGGACTAGGGGTGCAGTCCTGGAGTACAAAGACACAGACATAGCGTGCGAGGTAGATGGGGATGTGAGCAAAAGAGACACGGGCGTGGAGAGGCAGACAGAGGCGGAAGGGGGCGGGGGCATGTGGAGCATAGGGCAGGTGGGGTCAAGGTTCGGACCGGTGGAGCCCCACATGCCCGTCGCCCGTTGACACCCGGCAGCAGACTGCCGCTGCTCTAAAATGAAGAAAGAGTGGGAAACGCGCGAAATGGGGCCGAGGCGGAGCGGGGCAAAGGGCGGCGCCGGGCCGCGTCCGGAGCCCGGGCCCGGGTAACGGCCTGAATGGCGGCCTCCAGGGCCGCGGGCGAGACGGCGGCGAGGCGGTACCGCCGGCTGCTCGCCCCGACCTTTGCGAACCATTCGATTCTCTTTAGGACACCGCGGGGACGGGAGACGGGTCGTCTGGGCTGGCTCGGGTGGAAATAGATGCAGTACAGGCCGGCGCGTCGCCGCCGACAAAGGCGCGTTATCGGTGCGGAGGGTCTTCTACGGGCGGGGCGGGGCGGAGCGGGGCGGCGCACGGCGGGCCGTGCTGTAGTTGCGTCGCCTATCCTCATTATTTCAACACGTGAATTGAGGAAAAGAGTCGGAGACGCCGTGAAAGCGCGGGAACTGGGGCTAACGCGTGTGTGTGAGTGAGTCTGTGTGTGTGTCTTCTGGCAAAAGGTGTGAGATATAGGCAGAGACAGGGGGGAGTAAGAGAGGCGTGAGGCAAGAGAAAGAGAGGAAGATGTCGGCCGTGTGTGAGGATGGGGGAGGAAAGGGAGCGCCGAGGGGCGTATCGGCCGTGTCGCCGTGTCCGATCGGATTCGGCGGGGATTGGCTCAAATCCCATCACCCGGTCGCGCTGGTCGCGCGCTCGCCAGGGCCACATATACGATCGGACGGACCCACCGGCCTCATCTGCACGGCTTCCCATACCGCGATGCGATCCGCACGCTCCCCCTTAATTTAACTACCACATGATAATTTTTTTATAGGGCCCGTAAATATCGGCGTGTGGCGTAATTAATTATTCATCATCCCCCATTCATAATTCATGTGATCGGCGCAAGTTAGTTTATTTTTGTCAACGTTTTCCCATCATGCATGCTGGCTTAGCTTCGCCGCGGGTACTGCTGGGTACCAGCCGAGCCGACCCCTCCGAGAAATACCCCCCTTCCCCTTCGCCCC